GACCAACACAGCCAGTGACAGCCTCAGAGCAAGAAGTGTATCATGTAAATGTAGAGGAGATGAACTACTGGTAGATTCAAACCATCACATTCCTGGTGGATTCAAACAACATCAGGGTTCAAACATTCCTGGGAAAGAAACACACCTTCACACTGCGATGAATTGGTTGATTGCGCCAGTTGCCCTTCCCACCCCACAGCCAGTGCACTCTTTCACACAGTCAGTCAGTCAGGTATTTGACAAATGGCACATGACAATGAGCATACTACATATGAAACCTAATGGCCTCATGATGGCATTCCAGCAATCCCTTCCCACAATCACACACATCATGTGGCATGTTTTGTTGGGGACCCTTCCACTCTGGATCTGGTGGGTCAGATTCCAAGCCCCGACTCTTGTTTCAGAGTTGGTGCAAATTTCAACCACTTCGCTCAGACATCAAAAGCATCATGATGCCATATGTCATCATTTGATGCATGTCGGCGTTTGCTCCAGCGGTTGAATGGAACTATGGCCAAGCACGTCTCACTTGACTGTGGTGCAATGGACCATGAAGATGATGACATTTTATTGGAAGCATAAGGCACCAATGCCAGTGACTGCGGCATCTTATTGGACACAATGTGGCCCTTACCAGTGTCACTTGACGATGATGGCAGCTCTGACGATGGCTGCTCTGACGATTGCTGTGGCGCATCTGGTGATGGCTCGCCTGGCACATCTGGCACAGCATCATCATCTGTCATCATAGCTCCTAAAAGATGGGTTCTTCATGCAGAATATGGCCATTCACAGAGAAAATATACTAAAACCAAACAAAACTGAAACCCAAAATAAACACTTAATCAATGTATGTCATGACACTGGCAGCTGTCAGAGCTTGAGTGAGTCGTTGACGTGCCATGCCAGTCACTGAGCCATCCTCCAAGCACTTCACCAAATGCCCTTGAGTTTCAATGATCTGGGTCCCAACATACTCCAATCTCCTCACGCCACCATCTGTGAAGTCCATCTCCTCATCATGTGTCTCAGGATCATTTGTCACATTCCTGGTGAACACGATGTGCTTCTTCCACTGGGCCGGCGCAGTCGACCCAGTGCAGTGGAAATCTGTCACGGTGAGGATCTGCAAAGTGCCATCCACTACAAAGTGCCATGTGCCATGGACATTGCTATAGGCAATATGCCCTCCCCTGGTCACTGTTGACAGGTGTGCATGTGAATATGTTCAGCTTACCAATTACTCCTGGCAAATATACTAAATATATGTCAAGACAACAACAAAAATCTTGGCAAGCAATCAAGCACACATAAAAACAAATCAGTGTGAGGCCCTTGGCCTTGTGGTCCTCCTGAAGACCACCCGACGTTCGCCAGTGCTTCCATCTTCAAGAAGGACAATGTGCTCCACCCGAGATGCATGGAACCAAATGAAGAGATGGCCAGTAGTTGCCAAGAATGCCATGGTGACACAGGATAAATGACAGGTGACACGTGAGTCTTGGGCCACAAAGTCTTGTGCAACATGACAACATTTATGGTCCCTGAAACACCCAGGCCTCAAGCATGGCCAAACCCCTTCCAAGCTGGGTCTCCACACCATGTGACATGTGATATCCTTGACGGTGCATCATTCCACCTCAGGGGCAAATGAGCCAAACCCATTCCAACAATTCCAGGGAGTGAGCCAGAAATCAACAATTTAGAGTGTCAGTCACAATTGAAAAAACATTGATATCAAACTGACATGTCCCTACTCAAATACCATAGGACACATGATCACACTCCAAGTCTCATGGCCCTTGGCATCACTTCACTGTCTGGGCCCCCCCTGCTCAAAAGCATGATCTTTGCATGGCACATGGCACAGATTTGTTTACCTGTCCTGCCCCCCCCCTGCCTGAATTGAACAATTTGACATGTCATGCAAGACATGTGAAACATTGCGCCTGACAGTCGAAACATGGCAGGCAGACCATCACATGTACCACATGACTTATTACAATATAACACTCAAGAACAACACACCATTTCCACATGACATATGAGAATATGAGAGTCAAAACATGGCAGGCAGACCATCACATGTGGCACATGACATATGAGAATCAAAACATAACAGGCTGATCCAATACATGACAAAACACATGTTGCCAGGGTATAAAGTAAACACAAAAACGGACCAGGGAGGACTCGAACCTCCATCTTTGCACCTCCCCCTGCCAGCCATGCAATTGAATTTCTGTTCCCTGGCAGTAAGGAAGACAACGCCTTATCCATTAGGCAACTGGTCCCATGTTTCTGTGCTCAGGTGAGTGGATTTTGGTGAGCTCCAATGGGGAGAACCATGTCTGAAAGGGTCGTGTTTCTGATACAGTGCACTGGATGTGTCTTGGGAATCAGGTGTCTGACAACGATTGAGTTCATGCATGCCTGCTGGGTTGGCAAAGGCCAACTCTCAAAAAGCAATTTCTTGTTCAACGAGGGGTTGTGCGGGGCCCATGTGAGATATCATACATGTATATTTGATATTGGCAATGTATGGAATGTGTTGTACCATGCGATGCATGTGTTGCATCATGTGTAGTATCATGTACGACCTGTGCTGCATCATGTATGTGTTGTGTCATGTACGACCTGTGTTGCATCATGTATGTGTTGTGTCATGTACAGCCTGTGTTGCATCATGTATTTGTTGTGTCATGTATGACCTGTCCTGCATCATATATATGACATGGGTTGCATCATGTATGACATGTATTGTGTCATGTTTGACATGTTGCATCATGTATGACATGCATCATGTAGGACATGTGTTGTTCATGTGTGCAATGTGTTAATGAAATATCCAATTACATTTGAAATATCCATTTAGGTTGGCACTGGCTTTTATATAGATAATTCCGATTCGTGTCCAGGTCAAAGTTTGCTGGGGGTTTTGGTTTCCAACTCAGACCTGCCTAGAATTGGTAGTAGAGGTCGCTGGCTGGTGTGTTGCACCTGGGCGCCTTGAGCGTCGCTGACAATTCCCTCGCATGGTGGAGATTTTGGGAACCAACCCTGGTTCCGTTTCTTTCTTTTAATTTTGACACCGATGACGAGGCCGGACGAGGCCTGGTTGCCACCTCCTCTCCACGCTGGACAAGGCCGACTGCACCGAGGCCTCCGCAGACAGGCAATTTTCCTTCCCCTCGAAACGGGGGCCCGGGATCTATATAAAATATTCTTTAAAGGAGTCCCAACTGAAAGTGGATTGGCGGTTGCATTTTTGAAATCCATAGGGCAGAAGGTGGCCTGGTTAGAATTTTGCCCCGCAACTGTTTCCAAGCTATCCGCGCGGCAGCAAAATGTTTGCGAGGCACAGGGCGCACGGTGAGTTGCTGCAGTTGCAGCGGTGAAATTTGGCGGCCCCAAAAATGAGGGCTAAAAACGCTGCGGAGCCCGGGGTCGCCGCAGTGGGCCTCCCCTGTAGTAGTAGTAGCAGTAGCAGTAGCAGAGCTGTAGTAGTATTACTATTATTATTAGTGGTAGTGGTAGTGGTAGTGGTAGTGGTAGTGGTAGTGGTAGTGGT